CCCGAGCAGAAATGCTGGCGGAAAAAGAGAGTGGCACGAGTGTCCCTATATAATGGTGCGTCATGCACGTTGCCAGTGGGACCTGCTTGGATGGTGTAATTAGTGTTTGTGGAACTCAAGACTGGCAACGATGAAGCTCACAGCGCCCCCTTGCGGGAGATCACACTCTGCACCCAGTGGGACGACAGAGCGGCACACACTTAGTCACAGGGTTTTCAGTTAACCATAATCCCGGAGGAAAGGAATGGCTCAACGGAAAGGTGAAGCGTCCAAGCAATGAAGATGTTTCAAAAATGTTTGTGTCTATCATCATGCAAGAACCATGGAAGCAAACCAGAAAAGTAGACAGCGTGAGCAACAGTTGATGGCAGGTACGTCGAAAGAGCGTCCTCTTTCGATATCCTAGTCTGGACCTGGAGCTTCGTTGGCTCACGCCAGGAACAGGCCCGTGAGCCCCCTGCTTTTGCAAAGCCAAGAACTCTTAGAACTCTTAGAAACAGAGCGTGGCACACACACACACACACGGCTCAAGACACACCCGTGTGGTTCCTTTAACGTTGCATCATGCATGTTGCCAGTGGGACCTGCTTGGATGGTGTAGTGTTTGTGGAACTCAAGACCGGCAGCGATGAAGCTCACAGCGTTGCAAGCTAGTAGCACCCAATGAGGCCTGTAGGGATGGCAACTGAGCGATTTTATGTAGAGGCTTCTTTTTGTTGCCAAAGGGCCTCAAACTGGAGGATACGGTTTTCCGATGCTGCAATTCCAAGTGTTGCTTTTGCGGTTGCACAGTAGCCGGCAGAAAACTAGAGGCATCTAGAGGCCTAGGGCATTTGGGATATGTACGTAAAATTCTTCCATATTATATCCACATATACATGCATACTAGTTGTGCAAAAACATATGTATTACTATACATACTGTTCAAGCAGATCTATCCCAAACCCCGCAAATGAACCTCAGATCAGCCAGGCGGAGCAGAGCCTGATGAAGAGACGCTGAAGCAAACCTTCGAGAACTCCCCACAGCCTGCAGGAGGAGGTCGTGATGAAGCAGATGGCAAGCACCTCGACCTGAAGAAAGTGGATCGTCTCCCCAGTGCGATCCAGTGCGTGTGTGTTTGTTATGGATGTGCCCGAAACCTGAGGTTTGGGCCCTGTTTTTTCTGCAAGTTTTCTCCAGACTAAGCACGGCGGTTCATTCATGAGACACACAGACACAATCACACAAAAAACAGTTGTATTGCAGTATGTGATGTGGAAATTTCCGAAGCAACTTCAAAAAAGGGTTGTTAGTCGAATCTGACATTTGGTGCACGAAGCACTTGTGCAAGGAGCTCGTGTTCCCTGATTGGATTGTAGTTGGTGAGAGGCATGCACATGACTTGGCATCACCATGTCGTACATGTCGTACGCAACGGCCAAATGTTTCCTCACATGGCTGGGCATTCGCATCTCTTTCCACCCTCCCTCCCTTCAGAGGGCTTTGCCACTGCAGGATGAAAGTCACCAAACTGAAGAGACTTGGATTGCACCAAGCTGAAGGGATTCCCAAGAGCTGCAGCGGGATTCTGATGAGTGTGATGAGTATAAGTATAAAGTGCCTAACCCCTTGGCACCACACCTCTTCTGATTCTCTATTGTTTATTCACCATAGAGACTAACATCAAAGTGATGTACGCAGATCAGTACACATGTGATGCACCGAGAAAGTGTTTATACTAAGTGTTAGGGCGTCATGGCTGCACGCACAGGGCCATGCCACTCTTGACTGCTCAAAAGTGACTTGTTTACTCATTGTTGTGCTGAAACTTTTTCAGCTGCGCCTACTCCGCAGGAGCACCTTGAACAAGACCAAGAAGACAAGCACAAAAAAGAAGAAGTGGGCCTGACCATGTATTGACGTGGACTGTGCATGAAGATAGGGGAATTGAGCCATTTGACTCCAAGTGTTCAACACGTAGCATCCGGAGATTGGATTTGTTCCAGAGTAGGTGTTACATGGTGTTACAATAGATTCCCTACAATAGCAAGTCCGCCATTGTTTGGCGATCGCCAGGTGGATCTTGGATGACAAGCACGAGCGTCAAGCCTTCCGTTCCAGCTTCGGTAAAGACTTTGCCAAGCAGAAGGAGATGAAAGAGCAAGGGCGTGTGACCTGCACAGCACACAGAATGGGCAGGATACATATCTTAGGACCTTTGCAAGGGATGTGTGTGAGTAGGATGATGCTGCGGTGGATGCTAAGTAGCCAGCGGCTAGATCAAGCTGTTTCTGTTCCGCAGTGTGTGATTTTGATGTGAATGTAGTGCTCAAGGGCCAGGGTGGCTCATACTCCATCCTCGCTTCAAAGTCCCAAAGCCACCAAAGAACAATAAATACGCATCTCCCTTCAACCAGTTAGGTGCACTTGCTTAGCATGACTTGTAAGGTCTTGTAAGTACACCATGCAGTTCTCCTTAGTCAGAGTCCTTCGACAAACCTGATGCACCCGCTCAGATGGCTTTGAAAGCTGGCCGGGGCTTTGCCGCTTGGCGCAGCAGTTCAGGGATCGAAGTGCCTCGAGATTCGGTGTAGATCCCCGGTGTGTGGGTCCAAAAGGCACCCAAGAACATCGTTTGGCTTGGCTCCAGCAGGGGCTAACACACAGTTTAACACCTCAAGAGATGTTGTGGCAGGGAACCTCCCCTAAATGACGCCTTTGCAACCAGATTTGTTCTTCCGGCATGGTGGAGTCATCTCACCGTCCCAGTTTCATCAGCGTTGTGTCAGTTGCGTGACGCCCCACAAGGTGGAACTAGAGAGAGAAAGAGAGAGAGAGAGAGGAAAAAGCAAAAGATGGTCTGTCTCTCCTCTCCCTCCTCTCCCTCCTCTTCCTCCTCTTCCTCCCTCCCTCCCTCCCTCCCCTCATTCTTCTCTTTGCACTTCGCGGTCGGTTTGGCGACCAGGCCGTGAAAGTGAACCCGACCAGCGATTGGCTGCAGCCCTTTAGCACCCTGGCCGCACATGAGAGAGTGTTCCGTTTCAACCCCTGCCGCTGGATCTGTGAGGCCAGTGCCCAAGCTGCCTTCTTGCCTAGAATAGATTCACATGTGGGCAAGTCTCTGCAGGTCGAGGACCAAAGTGGTACGTTTTGACAATCTGGAACAACGCAAACAATCTAATGATTGATGATGATTGATGTACTTTCCCCTGCAGTTCTGTGAATAGGGAAGCCTCGCGGGTGTTTTTAACGCAAACTAATTATGTCCTGGCAGTGCCATGGTGACATGGAGGGTCTTCTGCCGTTGATGTGAAACGAAAGACTTCTATGGAACAGGGGCAGTTTCTCCGAAGTGACAGAGTTCTCCAATACCTCAGAACCATCATTTCAGCTCGGAAAAAATCGGTGCCTTCTTCAGTCGAGCCCTCTCAACTGGTTCAGGGAGGAGCTGTCTGGGGGAATGGAGATGCAGCAGCTCATACGATGTTTATCAATATTTACCTTGTCATGTTACTTCATGTTGGGGCAGCTACCCTCCTCATGGCCTTCGACCGCCAGGCACCACAGTAATTGCGCTCACTTCCTTCAGTGATTTACCTGGCCTCATGGAGGATGCCCCTTGGGCAGCACCTCCTTCCTCAGTGAGAAGCTGAGCAGAGATCAACCAAAAACATCCAAAAGCCAAAAGGAAGACCAGCATCCACGAGCATCCAGTACCATAGACCTACACCTCGCGCAGTGTGAACGCCAAAGTTGCGAGAAAAGAAAAACCAAGAAAAAAGCTCACGTGGGGTCTCGACCCCCAACTTGTTGGAGTCGATATGGAATGATCAGGTGAAGATGAGGAGGGCGCTACATTCATTGGCAGAATCGCCACGCACGTGGATTCGACCGTAACGACCGCGGTTTGTGCGGACCGTCACGGCCGGACCTCGGCCTCCTGGTAGTCCGAGGAGCTCCTCCTGACCTTGCGAGAGCTGCCGGGCCACGCGGAGGGCGAATGCTTCCGGATCCCCCTCCGCCTGCAATCGCCGCCTGGGTTTCGAACACCGGGGGCGAGGGTGTGCAGGGTTTCGATCAGCTCTTTTTGAAGGAGATGGGGAGACAGTGAGACGTCAAAAAAGGCGAAATCGAACATGTGTGACCTTGTCGTCGCTGGTCGCGACTACAAAGAAAGTCACGTGGTGTGGAAAGTCGGGCCAGCTGACAACGCTGGGGGCATCCTAACGTTGAGGTTTCTAAAAGTCATCGCAATCACTTGCATCACTTGGCCAGAGCCTTCCCTGAGTAGAAAGATGTAGAAAGCATTCCTGTCAACTGGCGTCCCGTCGGATGTCACGCCGCAGGATTCCGATTCCAATCGCTTCTAATCGCTTCCCTTCGCCCAGTCGATTTCCCGCCCTATAATACCTCAGCAGGAAATATACTCCAGAAACACCTGACAGGTTGCAGACACGGATACCATCCCAGCATGACCCTGATACCATCCCGGCCTGACTTGCTCCAGCACAGTTGCCTCAGATGTTCTTCAACCACCTGTTTCATGAACGTCGTGGCCGTGTTTTGACGAGAATCAGATCAGCACATATCAGCACATGTGCTTCATTTTGCTTGTGGGGCGGTATGCTTTGCACCGGTCCATGGATCATCCTGCGGATGGTGTGACAATGGCTCTGGGCCTTTTCACTGGTGAGACCTGTGTGAAGGGCCCGAGCGTCCAAGCCGAAGGACTTCTCGAGCTTCACACCTCCCGTCTCAGACATCTCTCTCGCGTCGAACCAAGACCTAGCCGGAGTCACTGGAGGTATGGCAATCCGCTCTACCTGCCCGACCAACAAGTGGGTCTCAACATTTTGTCTTTGCCTCCCAGGCGGGGTTCGCTGCAAGCACCCTTTGGATTTCCGGCTGTCCTTTTTGGGGGGTGAAAGGGATGGTGATTTGAAGTTTCTTCTTTCTTGATGGACCCATGTAGGTTTGCAGCTTATTGTAGATCGCCCGGGTTTGGTGCTTGTTCATTGTGTGTTTCTGATCGGTTGCGGTTGGCTTTTGCTTTGCACTACACTAGTGTGCACTCCCCTGCTTGCTGCTGCAGTTTGTGGTCCGTGTGCATATGATCCGATTCCATGTCTATCCATGAGCACTAGACACACTGCATCGGTTAGAGTCACTATGGAACAGGGCTTGCAAAGCCACTGCGACTGATTGTATGCATATTCTGAATTCTGTAGGGACGGTACCTGTTCTCACATGTTCCCACCCTTCCTGCACGCCTCCACGCCTTGGCTTGGTCAACCAGCTTGTGGGATTGTGCAGGTGAGTGCTGCTAGATTGCTAGTAATAGTAGCTAATTACCATATATTGTTATGCTCTCAGAGGATCTCAGAACCCCTCGTTGTCAACCCGCTGTCGGCATGTGCTCCATCAAGATACCTTCAAATTGAATACGCATCTTTGGATCAGCAAAGGGCTCAGGAGATGGCCCCGCCTTCTAACTTCCTTCGAAGAAGAACACTAACCAGAAACTAGAGCACCAACTGATATCTCGCAAAAACAACAGCGATCACCACGTGTTTTACTCGCAGGACCTGCACAAAATGTACTTTTTTCATCTGTTTGTTTAATGTTTTTTAACAAAATCCCTCCGAAAGCTCCATCTTTGGGGCCCAACGTCATCCGCTCCAGGCTCAGCTGTGGGGTCACCGTTCCGGCCGAGAAGCAGCTGGTGCGGCGCTTCAAAGTGGGAAACAACTCGGCCGCACGCGTGGTCGTGAACTGGAAGGTGAGGAGACCCGTTGGGGGGTGGTGAGGGGCAAGGGCACATGGCTCAGGTAGAACATAATCTATACAGCAACTTTGCAAGAAAATGTTCGGACCTCACTTGGACCCCGATGCATGTCATTAGATTGATTAATGCACAGCAACTTTCGCGCTGAGCCTCTTTTTCAAGCGCAAAGAAAGTTAGGCGAAACGTGAAAGAAACCACAGCCTCGGTCACCGAGACAGACCAAACTCGAGGTCTTCCCCAAGATGCAGCTGGAGAACATGGCAGAGGATCGAAACATGATCCACGTGGCCCTCTGTGCGCGTCATCGGGACATCAAGGATCCCTTCATCCAGCTGCCCAAGAAGGAAGATCCTGACAAGGAGCGATGAAACACAGTGCTCTGGTGGAAAGTCGCTTGTGAGTTGGTGGCGCGTAAGAACTCTAAACTCGGCGAGCCGGCGCCCACCCTCACCCGAAGAAACGCACGGATACGCGTCCCAGAGCGAGCCATGCTTCATCAGACCGAGCTGTGTGCGTGTTTTTCCACACCCAATGGATCCAGGGTTTCAGTCGGTCTACGACTTTAGTCAACCACTGGTTACCTATGGCATCCTGTAGCCAATCTATAGCCTAAAGTGGCAACTGGATCCCATTGGACAAGTTTGGTTTGGAATGCACCTTTCTCAGACAGTGCCAGGATGTGCTCCAGCTCAAGGTGGAAGAGAAGGAAGTGGTCATGGATGAGGAGCTACCGCTGTGGATGGTGACGGGGTTACAACCAGCGTGAACTGGGGAATTCTCCACGTCCGGTGAACTGGCCTGGCCCTCGAGGTCGCCTCTGGGCGTTGCATGTGCCATCATGTGCCAAACGACTGTGCCAGATCCTTCATGGGGGCTCTTTTAAGGGGTTGATTCTTCGTACCAGAACACCGAACGCAAGACGATCCAACGATCCGAGCCCGTTCTCCAGGAGGAACCAGACCCAGAGGAGCCCTTCAACTTCAAAGTTTGGTGTGAGCCACCTCCAGAGGTGAGGGGTTCATGGCTTGAAACGTGTCCAGTTCGTTTTCATTTTGCTTTGGAGCAGCCGAAATGTCCAAAAGCAACGTTGTGTGGTGAAAAGACTTTAAACCAAGAAGTCCTTTCTGAACCTCTCCGAAAAGCCAGTTCTTGTAGACCACTTGCTCCAATTGCGAGGTGGATGACCCTTTCTCTTTGAAGGGCAAGGAGCTTCCCATGGTCATTGAACCGGAGGAAGCTATAGTTGCTTGGAGAAATGGGTGAGTGTTGAAAGTCCAATTCTTTACAAATAGGTGCGAAACCACTGATCAATGGAGATTCACCTAAGGATTTGTGGGACGAATTCTGACCCAAGGAGAGATACCTGGGTTCAAAGAGCAAGGCACATGTTATTCCTTGCCGGGTCTTCAGAGTGTTTCTGGGCCCCGAGCAAAGTCCCAATCATCCATTGTGGCTCATCACTTCAACCGCGGTCGCTCTACTACACACGACCCACCCGCCACACCCCCCAAAGGATCGGCTCGAATCGGTTGGACGACACTGGCGGGTGCACGGCTGCGGCTACATTTTGCATCAGTCGCAAAAGAATCCGTCGTTCGTCATTGAATACAATACCTATTAATACTATTACTATAATATCATATAATCCTATAGCATATATACATGGTATATTTGCTTAGATATCTATACCCTAGGCTTCAACGGCCATCAAACTTGAGGTCCTTATGACGGACATGTTCAAAAGGCTTCGACCTTGATTTTTAAGGTCCTTGAGCAACGACCCTATCTTCGATCTTCGCCAGGTCTTTTTCTGAGGCCACACGTCGCTCCAAATGGATCAAAGGTCAGTGCACATGCAGGCCGCTGCGAGAGAGATCGTGAAGAAAACAACATCAACATATTTTCTTTCATGAGTCATCATGGAGTGCTTCACGATATAGTCTGTCTTATTGACATCGATCTGACATGGGCTACCTGGGACCAGAAAGATTGGAAATTGGCCACTGCCTCGTGTGTGAGCCATGCCTTCTTGGAAGTTCTGATGCCCCAAAGAAGTCTGGTGCTCAATTGCAAGACCAGCTTATATAATAAGTACGCGTCTTTTTCAATTGTTTTCAATTGAAAACGACTTGGCTCAGGAAGGAGGCACACTGCTTTGGTTGGAGGTGCACCCACCTTGTTTCTTGAAAAAACATAATAATTCAAATTCGTTTGTTAGACAGGGGTCCTTGGAATTCGCCCTTCGTAGGGTCCAAAGTAGCGATGTCCACTCTTGCTTCCTGGGTGCTTTGAAGGGCTCAGGCAGCTAGTGCTTAGTTCTGGCCAATCTCCAACCTGTTCCGTCAAGCGATGCCAAGTGGGTCTTCAGAAGACCGCATTGCACTCCTGAAGGCGCAGTGCGCTGGATGATATCGATGTTTCAATATGCCCGATGGTTTTGACACACGTACTGTACTATGAATCGAAATGAACGGTAACTGCGTTGAAGCTTTTGCGTCAGGAATTTTATGGGGAATGGCTGAGCGACGACAATTGGATTGTTGAGCGCTTCTACAAATTGGCTGTGCGAAACAGCATTCCCAAATCCAAAGTTCAGAAGCGAATCGATGCTGGGAAGGCAGGCCCCCAAACCCATCAAACTCATCAACACATTGTGGACCTAGAGGACTGCAACCGTATCACAAAGAAGATTGTTAATGTTCCTCTGACCAGGCACCGTGTCAATTCAGCTTCATGGATGTTCCGGAGAACAAGATCACCAACGACACAGCACATGCCTTAGGAAAAATAAATCGACTTACACCGACAAACAAGGACACCATCTTCGTGCGTTTTTACAACCTGTCCTCATGAGGTGGAGGTGGACACCAACTTTGCCTTCATGCAAGATTTTCTAGCAAGCTTCGGCCAGGAATTACCCAACCCTTGTGAGGTCAAGGCAGCATTTTTACTCACTTTGCCTAATTTGTTGAAACCACGGTTGAATTGATCTAATGTTGGATTGATCCTACACGTGACGCCGCTGCGCAGTCGGTGCTGTTTGACCTGGCAAAGTCGATGGACCAAAAGCTTGTGGTCAACAAGACAGCTGATGATTTGAAGGACCTTTTTCAATTCGTACATTCTTCTTCAAACGAATTCCAAAAGGACTGGGCATCGGATGAATGTGATCTCCATCTTGGCTTGGCCCGGTATGTGATTAGAAAAGCTCAACGCAACTTGCATGCAAGGCCGGCCCCCCCCGTTATCAAAAGCCCTCTGTCCGAAGCCACCGTGAGTGCCAGGTCGCCGAACTCCAAAATGGAGGAGCTCAAAACGCTGGTGAGGAACCTGCGTCCAGGCTGACGAACTGTTCGATCTCATTCCAATCACACAAATTGGCACTAGCGTGTTAGATTATCATGTGCTGACCACCGATGTTCATTATTCTGTGCGCAGAAATCGTGAAGAAGCTCTCAAGCAAAAGTCACAAAGAAGATCAAGACACACCAGACGAGATCACAGTGCCAGAAGCGCTGAGTCCTCGTTGGAGTCCAACTCACAGTGAAGAAAAGCCAGCTTTCATGCAGTCAGGTACTTCTGTGGAGCAGGGAGGCTCAAGCGAGCAAAAGTCAAGGGACCCCCCCAAATCTTCGATGTCTGATTTGGCATGCAAGTTAGAGGATATGAAGCTTTCCGATAGTCCCGCGCACGCGCCGTAAACCCACCAAATTGACTTAACTATCGACAGCCAACAAACCTTTGATTATGGGCCCCTTCCACTGCCGGCTGAGACACCGAGCCAGCCCGTGGCAAAGCAGGAAAGCAAACAACAGCAAGCCCATGGCGAAGGCAACAACAGCAAGAAACAAGGTTCGCTTCCAGCAGAGCCAGCACAGCGCGTTGAGCAACAAACTCCAGCAGAGCCAGCACAGCGTGTTGAGGAACCAACTCCAGCAAAGCCAACACAGCACGTTGAGAAACC